ATACCTGTAATGCCAACATTTGGGGAAGCTGAGGCAGGTGGATAGCTTGAGCTCAGGAGTTGCAGACCAGCCTGAGCAAGAGTGAAACCCCATCTCTAAAAATAGCCAGGCATTGTGGCAGGCACCTGTAGTCCCAGCTACTTTGGAGGCTGAGGCAAGAGAATCATTTGAGCCCAAGAGTTTGAGGATGCTGTGAGCTGTGATGCCCTGGCATTGTACCAAGGGTGACAAAGTAAGACCCTGGCTAAAATAAAATACAATAGAAAATAAAACCTAGATCTGGGCAGTGGAAGAATGAAAGAGAAATTATAGATAATGGTCCAGGTTATGGAGCAGAAACCACACACCTGTTCTCCTCTAATTCAGATGGAATTTGGTGCCTTCTCTATCCTCACTTCTGAGGAGTCTGCCTTAATGTTTGTGAGATGGTCCAAGGAAAAACTGGCTTATCTACTCACATTCCTTCCTCTGGAAAGTCAAACTTTCCCCCCACTAAGTGGCAAGTAATGTGGCTGGATTTCCATGCAGTTAAATCATAAAATGTCCCAAGATTTCATCAAGGAATCTGTTTAATTCTTCATTACTGTGGATCAGGAGAATTTCCATCTTTTAATCTCAGTTTTCCATTCTCTTATTCAACCATTGGACTTTATAGTCAGTACGCACAGATTTCCTTTTTCTATAGAATGTCCAGACACACAATTATTTCTTCACAGATTCACATGTGGCTGTTTCATCTTACCAAAAGATTCCCACTGAGATTCATTAACCATTAGTTCAATTTTTTCTTGTCTGGATGGTACGAAATCACTAATATATCTCATGGAAGAATGCCATCATGGACTATTAAAGTTGCACACAATTGTGTGTAGTTGCTAGCTGCTAACATTTATGGGGAGGTGACATTTGTGTGCATAAAATGAAATAAAGACTGACCTGGTGCCCGTAGCACAATTACAGTGCCAGCCACATGCACCAAGGCTGGCAGGTTCGAGCCCTGCCAGGATCAGCTAACCAACAATGACAACTGCAACAAAAAATAGCCAGGCGCTGGGGCAGGCACCTGTAGTCCCAGCTACTTGCCAAGATGAGGCAAGAGAATCTCTTAAACCCAAGAGTTAGAGGTAGCTGTGAACTGTGATGCCACAGCACTCTATATCAAGGGCAACATAGTGAGACTCTGTCTCCAAAAAAAAAAAAAAATGGAATAAAGACATAAAAACTCCTTTTGGAATACTGCATGAAAACAAAATTAACTATTTTGAGTAGGTAAAACCCCAAACAACCCTTTTATTGTGTCAAAGTCACATTCCAGATGACGTATAAAATGTGACTGGTGGCCCATGCATTCTTTTCGTATCTTCTGAAGTCTCTTTCTTATCATTCTTAAATAAATAACTCAGTAACATTTTCGGAAGTCTCTCTGTTTTGTTGGTTTGCTTGAGACAGAGTCTCACTGGGTTGCCCTGGGTAGAGTGCTGTGGCATCACAGCTCACAGCAACCACAAACTCTTGGGCTTAAGTGATTCTATTGCCTCAGCCTCCTGAGTAGCTGGGACTACAGGTGCCCACCCCAGCGCCTGGCTATTTTTTTGTTGCAGTTGTCATTGTTGCTTAGCTGGCCCAGGCTGGGCTCAAACTCGCCAGCCTCAGTGCATGTGGCTGGCTCGGTAACCACTGTGCTACAAGCTCCGAGCCTGTCTCTTTGTTATTCATGAATAAATAATACTTTATTCTATTTAAATTATTAAATTTAATTCTATTAAATTATCTCTTTTTAAATATAGTCTTCTTATATTTAAGGAGCGTGTTGTGTGCGTTCAAATAAACAACATATGAAAGAATTGCTATAGAGACAATTTCTCCACAAACTCAAGCTGTTGTGTTAAGAGAGGTTACAGGGACTGGAAAAGAGATAATCATCGAGAAGGACGGCGTTTGGTGTCGTTAAAACACCCCCCACCCCATTTCTCCTCATCTGGAGGTACCAAACGCCAGACACACCAACACCCAGAGTTAACTCACATACGAAGTTTTAAGTGGATGCGCGTCTGTTATGCACAAAACGAAAATGAGGCGAGCATTGAAACGTGGTACAAACCCCAAATTCATCCTTTCCACATGTTTGGAGATCCCGGCGGGCACGGACGCCAAAGATCTGAACGTGCAATGGACCTCGCTGGGGACGTAGCAGGCACAGGGGTGAGGACAGGCCAGGGCGGCGCGCGGATGTCCCCACAGCAGCATCAGGACCACGGACAGCGCCCCCCAGGGAGCCTGCGCGCGCATCTCGCCGGGGCGCATCTCGCCGGGGCGCCCGGTCCTCGAACACCTGCGTGGGACAAAGACACGCGCTTACCCTTGGGTCGCACTGACAGTCGCGTTTGTGGCAATTTCTACCTGAAGCGCGCATCATTTAAACTGTGCATCATTGGACTTGTCCTGACGCCCCCCAAGACTTCAAATCTCGTATTGTAAAGATACAGTGTTGCTTAAAACACAGGAATTAAGAAAGAGGAAACTCGTATTTCTTTTTTTAGCTGTTAGTATAGAATGCAGCCTTCATTTTTTGCCTGAAGTACTAAGATTTGGGAATCTCGCTATCTCGAGCTCGGCAGGGGTGATTATAAGTACACAATACGCATCTACCTATATTACAGAGAAAGAAGACGAAAAAGAGAGGAGGAGGAAGAGGAAAAAATATAATTTATAATTCCATAGTAAAACATAAAAAGCTGTTTTTGCCTTCCAGACACAAGGAAAGTGGGGCCTTCTGATTTCAAGATTATTCTTGGTTTTAGCATCAAAGGACTTAAGAAAAAGTTCGTCTTTCTCTCTTGCACACTTCGTCATAAAAAGATTTATTCTGCAAATCTTGGGTTCACCCAAAGGACTGCGTTTAAGGGCGTCCAAGTCCACATGTGGCATTGAAGCTGCTGGTTCCCCGCCCCTGGTCAAGACTGAGCCATTAATTACGGTATATATTTAGATAAAAGAAAATCTCAACAAAGTTGTCGGGAGGATTTAATTCTCAGGTCTTAAAGGGGTGTTGACTAGAGGGAGATTCGTCTTATTGCTGGTGGGTTTGTTTACAATTTATTATTATTTCTTTCTTCTTATTATTATTTCTTCGGTAGGAGCCTAAATGGTTATGTTAACACACCAGGGATGCTTCTCTAGGAGAAGTTTCGGGGAACCTCTATAAACCAGGAAAGGTCAATAATTACTTAAAAAAGGAATCCTCAGATAAGTGTGAGAAATGTGTCATCTAATATTTTCGTCACCTCTCGGGCGAAAAGCAGAGATAGGTGCACACGTGGGAAGCTATTAGTGCCACGCCCTAGGGAAGCAGCTGTCGCCCGTCTGTCCCTGTCCTCCTGGTCCAAGCTCTAGCCGGCTCAGGTAGGAATGAGGGCAGCGTCCCACGCCCGCTGCTTCCCCACGCTTTAAACGACCTGGAGCAGTGGTCGTATCTCCTCAGCCCGCGCGCGCATCCTGCCTTACGGCTGTTCATTCAGAGCTGAGGGGGTGCAGCTTTGCAAAAAAAAAAAAAAAAAAGCAAGTTGGGCTCCACCTCTGAGCGCTGGAACAAATGCTCCAACCCCTGCAGCTTTGCAGAAAGACATTCCCTGGCTCGCCCGGGCTTTCCCCGCCTCTGCTTGCGCGCCCTGACCTCTGAGCTGGGCTTCCTCCAAGGGCATCCGGGCCAGCGCCTCCGCACCCTGTGCCTGCAGGCGGACTTGGCCCAGGCTCCCCCAGATGGTTCCCTAGCCTGGACTGTCTATCTGGACCCTCACCCTGCTCTGCCACATCTCAGAGACCACGGGGAATTCGCTACAGGGAACGCTAGTCCCCGGGGGCCACGGAGCACCCGTCTTCGGGCTGCCCTGAGCCTGCCCGAGCACCCGGAGGCAGCCTGTGAGTCCAGGGGTGGCCACGCGAGGCCGTTTGCTTTCCTCCGCGCCGCGGGCGCACGACCTGGAGCCGACAGGCGGGCGGCCCTGCTCCCCTGGCCAGCTTCCAGAACCCTCTCTGTCTTGCTGAGCCGGCTGCGCGGTGAATCGCGCGCGTGGGACTCGTCCATCAACCCCGCTTTCCCTCCCAGGGTGAACTTCCCGGTGTCTGCAGAAGTCAGTTCACTCTGGGCTGGTCGGTCTTCCCGTCTCCAGGGAAAACCTGGGTAAGAAGAGGAGGGAGGGGAGCCCTGCGCAAGCGGAGCCCGAGGAACTTGCCCGGAGGCTCCTCACTGTGGCCTTTCCCTCACTGAATGCAGGAGCGGACTCGGCTTCGCTTCGGAACCCAGCGGGCTGCGCTCTGGAAACTCGGGTGGAGAAGGCGGGGGCGAGGAAGGGGAGCGCGCTGGTGGGATCGAAGATCTAAGGGTTAATTAGACCTATTCTGAGCCTCCTTCTTCAAGAGTCATTCCATCAGCTTCCCTTCCTGAATCTCAGCTGACCCCTCATCTACTTCACAGAGTGTGCCAAGGAATAGTGTGCGTTTCTCGGGCCTCTGCACCCCAGACTTTCCCTTGAGACCCCCCTCAAAGTCCTTCAGGCCCTGCAGAGAAAGCAACCAGCACCCCGGGGCGCCCTGTCCACCCTCGGTCCTCACCTGCCTTGCGGAAGCTGCAATGCTCGGGAACGGTGCGCCCTGAGCATCCGCGTGGCCAGGGCGCGTGAGTCACAGCCGGGAGTCCTCCGGGGCCATGCCCTTCCCGGGGCTGGGGGCGAGGCAGCTCGGCTTCCCAGCGCGGCACAGCCAGCCGGCGCCCTTTTATTCGCGTAGCCGAGAGGCTTCCTCGAGTCCACGCCTCGGCCCACCCCCACCCTGCCCCACCCCAGGGAGACGGGGCGCGGGCCGAGCCTAGGGACCCTGGCCGCGCGGCTGTGCGCTCAGCCCTCCTCTCGCCTCTTCATCGCGCCGGCTGCAGGGTGGGCATGCCTCGTCCACAGCCGCTGGAAAAGCCCGTGGGGCGACCACGCGCAGACAGCTCCGGGAAGGCGCAATCTTTGTCCGAGAGAAAGTTGGTCCCGGAACCCCGGAGGGGAGGAGGCGAGGTGGGAGCTGCGGTCGAAAGTCCCCCGCGCTACAGGAGCGCCCTTCCTAGCTGAGCTGGAAACCTTTCCTTTTTCTCCAGGGGAGAAAGAAGGAACCAGGCTTCTGAATCTCCAGGCTAGACGGAGATTTGTCTGGAAGCGCCTCCCCGCCCGGGCGCAGGCAAGACCGGGCTGCCCCGCCGGCATCCCGCGAGCTGCAGGCCCCGCTGCAACGTGAGACCCGCCGCCACGCCCTCGCGCCTCCCTCCCCCAGCCCGCGTCCTCCCGCCAAGCTAGGGGAGCCTTGGGAGGGGGGCAGGGCAGGGCGAGGGCGGGGAGCCCTGGAGAGCCTGACTGTGCTGGCTGGCCGAAGCCGGGAGGACCCGCGCACCAAACAGAGGAGAAGTTCAAGGTCCCTTGCACTGCCAAGGAGCGAGGAGGCCAGGGGAGGGGAGGAGAAGGCGGTTGTCTGGTTTCCAGAAGCAGCCAGACCTGAGAAAAGTGGAAAGGGATTTGGGGAGCACAGGCCGTCAGCGAGGGCGACCTGGGGCTCAGAGACGGGACACAGCGCGTCCTGTAATGAGAAGAAACGGTGGTGTCCTCCTGCCAGGGAAGGATAGGCCCGCCCCGCACGCAGAGCTCTGCCAGGGAGGGGATTTTAGGAAGAGGAAAGAAATACATAAGCTTTAGATGATTTCTCCCCCATAGCCCTGGATTGGGGACCACCCCGGTTCCTCCTAAGAAGCCTGGCGTCTTTCCATGCCCTGCCCCTAAAGTGGTGGCCACAGGGGGAATGGTCGGTAAACACTGGTCCCTGAAACGTCACGGAGGTCCACATCCTATGCCTTCACTTCTCAGTGTGTTCACCCAGTTCTAGGGACTTTTAAAACCTATTGATAAAATCACACACACACACACACCCCTCAGCGCCTGAGCTCAGCAGCCAGGGCACCAGCCACGTACACCGCAGCTGACGGGTTCGAATCCAGCCTGGGCCTGCCACACAACAATGATAACTACAGCCAAAAAATAGCCAGGTCTTGTGTCAGGAGCCTGTAGTCCTGGCTACTTGGGAGGCTGAGGTGAGAGAATCACCAGGGCCCATGAGTTTGAAGTTGCTGCGAGCTGTGACACCACAGCACTCTACCCAGAGTAACAGCTTGGGACTCTGTCTCAAAAAAAAAAAAAAATTACACACACATACAAACAGTGTGGAAGAAACACTTGTTCCCAGAACATCTCTTTGTCCTTGGTAATGGGTCACCATCCACCTACTTAGCTAATCAAGAAGTCCATTCACCTGCACCTGGCACCCACCTTAGTGATTCCAGCACAATAGACGGGGAGCCCAGTCTGATACACCCTGACTGCTGAGACTCTGGGGCTCTGTCTCCTTTTCCTTTCTGCTCTCTGACTGCCATGGTACATGTGTGTGTTAGCTTCTCCCAACTTATTCCTGCTCCAATTTCTTCTGCACTCACCCCCCAGCACCATGTGAAAGCTTGCAGGACTGCTGACCTCAGAAGCCCCAAGTCTGAAGCTCCCCACCGGCGCCTGGCCCTGGTCTTCCCAGGGTGCCTTGCATCTGATTCAAGGCTTGACTGGTAGTAGCTGGGAGTTCGGTGGCTCATGCCTTTAATCCCAGCACCCTGGGAGGCTGAGGCAGGTGGATGACTTGAGCTCAGGAGTTTAAGGTTGCTGTGAGCTGTGACGCCATGGTGCTCTACCCAGGGGAACTCTCCCGAGAGAGAGAGAGAGAGAGAGAGAGAGAGAGAGAGGAAAAAAAACTGGTAGCAGGATTTTGCCCTGGTTTGGGTTTCCGTGCTACTGTGTCTGAACTATAAAGTGTTTCTGTCACTCAATTTAATGGAGACGCGGATGAGAGCTTAACAATTCCATTTCTATTTATACAAAAAAGCTAGACATTCTGCAAATCTGCCACAATGCCCAGCAGTTTTTCTATTTTTAGGAGAGAGGGGTCTCACTCTTTCTCCGGCTGGTCTTGAACTCCTGAGCTTAAGCAACCCTCCCGCCTTGGCCTTCTAGTGTATTGGGAATACAGGTGTGAGCCACCGTGCCCCGCTAATTTGCTTTTACTTAATGAATTTCAATATTCATGTCCAGTGAATGCATGATATAGTATAAGGCAGGTGTCCTCAAACTACGGCCCTTGGGCCACATGCAGTCCACCTAGGACATTTATCAGGCCCACCAGGTGTTTTTGCTGCCGCTGACTGTCCTACTTAGCAGCCA